TGATGCGCCCTTAGCATTCGCGTATACTGCCTATGCCAAGGGCCGGCCCTGGACATTTCTCTTAAAACTGCTTCCCAAAACCAACATATTGATGTGATTAAAAAGATATATCGCCAAACGTCTCACCAACGAGCGGCGTGATGGCGGAGGTGAAGACGGAGCTGCTCTGCACGATGAAGGTCATCCCAGCTCCAACAAACATGGCCAGGTATCCTGTGACCCAGGCGAAGGGGAAGGGGAAGTCTGCAGGGAACAGGTGAGCATTGAATACAGGAGTTTCTACAGAGAATCAGCACGTTGCTCTTGAGAAGCGCCTCCTAGCTGCTCTTCAGTGTATTTTACACAGATGGTAAAGGGACACTTTGAACACTCCTTGAAAGATGGCTGGTTATCTGAAGGGGCAGCGAGGGGCTGCTTATGGGGGTCTGCACACCTTCAAATGTACCTGTTGACCTGAAAGACTTCTCACAGGTGAGCTTTTCTATGAATTGTCTTCTGACTGCTCTGAACTCAGGGACCAGCGTGGAACTATGTCTTGTGATAATATTTGTTAGAGAGTATTCATATTGCGGTGGAAGTTCCTCACTTAATCTCCTTCTGGTAAGAAAAGAACAAATAAGTGAGCTCAAACCAAAGTTGTGTTATATAATAAAGCGTTAAAGCATTTAACAGAATCAATATGTCCAGCTGGAAGGCCAGATGACCTGAACCACTGAGTGCTACAGACATCTGCACCTCCATCAAACAAATGACAGGACTCTTTAAGGGAGGAGAGCAAAAGCTTGAAAGGGGAGCAGCCAATGAAACTCTACATTACAGGGAACTGAAGATTGTCGGTTAGACAGGGGTCACGTTCTGACAGTATAACAGAGGATCATTCTTCTGTCGATGGTCACAGGAGGGCGTTTTGTTTACCTGTGTTGAGCACCTTCTTGATGACCACGGCCACCTGGCCCTTCAGCATGGAGTTCAGCAGCTTGACGATGAGGATGAGGCAGGAGCAGAGGACGAAGAGAGAGAGAGCCAATAGGATGAGACCCACCGCCAAGTCAGGGAGGGTCACGTAGGCAAAGATGTGTTTACCTGAGAGAGAGGGGAGAGAGAGAGGGGAGAGAGAGAGGGGGAGCATTAAAGGGTTAACTAAGCTGTGCACGATGCTAGACATCCTCATTGTGATTTGAGAAGAGGAATCCCCTTCAGTTCTTCTTCTCTACGTCAGGAAACATCTCCTTATCTAGAAGTGTCTGATACTGGAAGACGTTGCTTTTGTCGGGACCCCCTTGGAAACCACACGGTGCATCTCAAGGGCTTTACCCTAATGAATACATTTCATGTTCTGGTCCGGTGGCTCTCAGGTGTTTGTGGGTTCATGTTCTGGTCAGGTGGCTCTCAGGTGTGTGTGGGTTCATGTTCTGGTCAGGTGGCTCTCAGGTGTTTGTGGGTTCATGTTCTGGTCAGGTGGCTCTCAGGTGTGTGTGGGTTCATGTTCTGGTCAGGTGGCTCTCAGGTGTGTGTGGGTTCATGTTCTGGTCAGGTGGCTCTCAGGTGTGTGTGGGTTCATGTTCTGGTCAGGTGGCTCTCAGGTGTTTGTGGGTTCATGTTCTGGTCAGGTGGCTCTCAGGTGTGTGTGGGTTCATGTTCTGGTCAGGTGGCTCTCAGGTGTGTGTGGGTTCATGTTCTGGTCAGGTGGCTCTCAGGTGTTTGTGGGTTCATGTTCTGGTCAGGTGGCTCTCAGGTGTGTGTGGGTTCATGTTCTGGTCAGGTGGCTCTCAGGTGTTTGTGGGTTCATGTTCTGGTCAGCTGGCTCTCAGGTGTTTGTGGGTTCATGTTCTGGTCAGGTGGCTCTCAGGTGTGTGTGGGTTCATGTTCTGGTCAGCTGGCTCTCAGGTGTGTGTGGGTTCATGTTCTGGTCAG